CTAAGAAAGTGGAACTGGATGCAGAAGTGAGATAGCGCCACGTTCATTCTATGCCTCCACCCTTCTCAATGAGGACTGCCACACAAAAACCAATGTAGGAGACTCGTGCAGTCTAGGGTGGGTTTTAGGAAAACTTTTTCTCTCCTCTCTCTCACTAGGTAATAAAAATACCACATTGAATGTATACAGTTAAGATAACATTGAGGTTTAAATGTTTAGGCTAATCTTTAATTTAACAGCTTAAAAAATTATGGAGAAGAAATCTCTCAAATCTATCTTCTGAAAATCAAATACGTTCAAAGACAGGAATTACTTCATTTCTACTTTTGCACAGATGTATCAACTAATCTCAAATCTGTGGTTCCTAATAAACAAAAGATAAAAATTCACCACACTTTAGTGACACAAAAGCACAAAGTGACCTTCATTAGTAAGTTTTTAAAAAATCTTCACTTTTCTCATATTTAATGAGAAATTTTCTGATATTTAATCACTTGTTCTAGAATTCTAAGTTTTATTAATCCAGCAAAAAAATAACTCATTATTCAAGTGAAGTGTCATTATTCAAGTGAAGTTATCTATTAACCATTTATCATTTATTTATCATTTGTTATTCATTGAATGTAGAAAGAAAGAAATACAGAGACACTAAGATGGCCCATAAATGTATCCAAAAAAGCACCTCTCTCTCAAAACAGGTAAATGCTTACATAGATCTCAAAATCCAAAATTGGATTTTCAATTTAACCTTTAACACTTAAATCACATATTTGTACATAACATAAAGGATTAAGTTTTTTTTTTGTTGTTTTTGTTTTTTTTTTGGTTTTTCTCCGGTACCGGGAACCGAACTCACGACCTTGCGCTGGCCAGGCAGGCGCTTCTTGCCGCTGAGCTAAATCCCCAGCCCCAAGGATTAAGTTTTTAAAAGTAAAAGTCTCAGGTACTTTTTTATTACATTTTAAAAGCTGGTGGCAAAAGGAAACAAAAATAATTTCCACGTGATACTATAAACCACCTATAGCTTTTTAATTATAACCCTGATAATTTTCATAATCCCACATCTAATTGAAATATTTTCTTCATTTCAGAGAATATACAACAAGTTCAGTCTCTCCCTTGTATTCTACAAATAACTCTATACAAAATCAGGATCCATACAATTTCTGAGGGATTAAAAGTTTTATAATTACTAGAATCATATTTGCCAATTATGACCTTCATCTCAACATACACATACCTGTATACGTATACTTTGTATTACTAAGTGACACTATTCTCTTAATACTTTATACAGAATGTATTTCACCACTGCAGCTATTATCCTCAAAATACTTAATGGAATGAAGTCTGATTCTCATCATACTTTTTATATAAGAGAAAAATTTCAGATAAAAAATGCTAAATTATTTGCCAAAGACCTAAAAAAGTTTAAAGGCAAAGCATAAAATATCAATTGGAATCTATACTAATAACCATTTACTGATAAGCTGTATGTGCTATCTCAATCATATAAAAATAAACATTTAAATTCACATATAAACATGGACAAATAAATGAAAAAGCGAGGAAAGTAAGAAATTTCCTGTACAGCCTGAGTTACATAGAGAAGTGTGGTTTTAAAATCCGAGCTGCTAAAGAGCTGCTTCTAGTGAGAAACAGATGCTAGCTCGAAGAAACAGAAGAAAACAGACATGCCACATTCAACAGAAGAGCATTACGACTCGAGAATTTCACAGAATCCAGCAGACATACACAATGAGTATAGTGTATCTCTGACCACCACTGAAATATATCTTCATAGAAAATTAGGACTTATTTAAAATATAAGATTATAAAACATATGTATACTTAAGATATACTGTAATTATAAAAATTTCACTTTAAATCAACAATGTTTAAACAGAATATATATGCACATATATTTGTGTGCATATATATATTGTTTTTTGAGACAGATCACATTATAACCATAAAACCTTTTATGGTATTGCTTTATATCCAGCTACTCTCAAAAATACTAATAAAAACATTTAATTTCCTCTTCATTACCTTTTCAAAATCTTACAGAAAATTTATGTTACCTTTTGAACAAAATCAAAGAAGGATGGGGACTTAAATATAATCAATTCTAAAGTAATATTTAACCACCATTTCCTTCCAGGAGATTTTCACAAAAAACCAGGTAAGGGCATTTGGTATTAATGCAATCAGTAATGAAAATCTTAAAATAGAAGGTAATGAAAAAAACAAAAGGCTAACACTATGCAAAAAGTATTACCAGGATTAGATGATAGCAGGCTGCTGTCTTAGAGCTCAAAATGACAGGAAGGTACTAAATGTATTTGAGGAAAATCAAAAACCTTTGCTGAGATACCAAAAAAGATGATTTTATTTTCTTGAGATAGGGTCTCGCTACCGTCGTGGCTAACGCTGAACTCACCAGGTAACCCCAGCTAGCCACACTCACAGCTGTTCTCGGGCCTCAGTCTCCCAGGTGCTGCAGGCAGGTGTGCGCCACTGCACGCAGCTACCAGGAGAAGATTACTCCACTTTCTAAGTCACTACTACATGTTTACAGTAATGACGTTTACACTCCTCTCACGTACTTCTGTACATGTACTCAGCACAGCCTGATTTATTTGACTCCCCTCCCGGCCCTCCCTCTACCTCTCCGTCTCTTTCCCCATTCTCATTACGATGTTTTAGTTCCCGTTTGAGACACACAATGATTACATCTATTGTGCAGCCGTCACACGGACACCACACATCTTAAAGCCCCACCCCCTCCTGGTCACCTTCCCATTTACAAAAGATCTATCTCATTTACTTTTATCTATCTTTTATTTTGCCCTTATTTGTATTTTGCATTGCGCAAACGAGAGAAATCATACAGGATTTAAGCTTTTGTGTCTGATTTATTTCATTTAAGATTATGTTTCCCAAGTGTATTCACTTTCCTACAAATGTCTCAAATTTATCCTTCTTTATAGCCAAATAGTATTCCATTATGTATAGGTACCACATCTGCTTTACCCATTCATCTGTTGATTGACATACAAGCCACTTCCAAGACTTAGCTATTAGGAACTGTGCTGCTATGAACATTGATATGCATGTATTGCTATAATAGAATGCATCTTATTTAACTAAGAAGCCTCAAAAAAGATACTACCTATTTTTTTAAAACAAATAAATATTAAGATTAGCTAGAAATGCCTTCATATAATTTCTGAAATAAAAATATTACTCATTTTCCTACATTATGTTAAATACACATACAAAAACCTGTTAAAATGTTTATATCCTCCTATTGGAAAAAGCGCTGAATCATCTAGTAGCTCTAAAAAATTTAAAACAAAGAGGATCACCAATTCTCTAGGTTTTTTTTTTTTTTTTGGTTTTTCTCCAGTACCGGGAACTGAACTCACGACCTTGCGCTTGCCAGGCAGGCGCTTTGCCACTGAGCTAAATCCCCAGCCCCCTCTAGGTTTTTAACTGTTGTTTCAAATTAATCATGCTCAACTTCATCCCCAACCCAGTGGCATGTTCTGCATTAAATATTACATAAGATTTTTTTAAAATGTTGTTTATTTATTTTTGCAGTTTTATGTACACCATTATATTATGCTTATGCTTGGGATTTCATTTTCACACATTTCAAAAATTTATACCAAAACTTAACAATCTTTAGGACAGCTGCCATAGTATTCCACGTTAATTACGTTAGAAGACGTTAGCCAGTGCTCGCTTTGGCAGCACATACACTAAAAAAAAAAAAGGACTTTAGCCAAAAATTCTGAAACTTCATATAGCATTCTGGATTTTTTGTTTGCTTTTTGCAGTAATTTTTACTTGCTTCCCATATTTGTAACAGAAATTAATAAATTTAAAATTACGTAACTTCCTTAGATGAAGAAAAACAAATGTTTTGTTTTATAGTACTGGGGACTGCACCGACGGCCTGCTGACTGAGCTACATCCCCAGCCATTTATGTTTGAGACAAGGCCTCACTAAGTCACCCAGGCTGACCTGGCCGACTGCTGGGGCTGCAGGCTGTGGCACCACGCCCAGGTACAAATCATATACTCTTCATGACTACAATAAACCACATCATTTCAAAATCATATAGCTAGAAAAAATGTTGTGAATATGTAAGTTTATTCTGTTGTACATGTTTAATTTCTGTGTCCTCAGTTAGTTTAACAGGAGTTCACCTAAAGATAATTTTTGGACGACATCAGGAAGGGCTCACTACCTGCACCTCTGCCGCTAGCCCTTGCGAAGACTGACCTGACGGTCCCTTCAAATGAGGTCTCCGTGCGGCCCTCTCACTCCCTCTCACCCAGCTCTGGGAAAGGAGCCAAAGGCTAGAGTCAGTCCCCGGGCCTTCAATAACATCCACTATGCAGTAGCCGAGACTCCTCCTCAGCATTATGTTTAATTATGAAAAGGAAGCACCAAAACAAACAAACAAACAGAGAAAAAAAAAAACAAAAACAAAACCTACCTAGGCCATCTTTTCACCTTTCTTTATTTCATGAGAGAAGCATTTAACACATTCATTTGATGAGTAATAAGGAAGTGCTAATGAAGCTTGCCAATAAAATCTGCCTTATCATCAATGCTGGTATCAACTTTGTAACATACTAACGCAGTGTAGCAACTACGGTTTTATGAGACAAAACAATAATCTCAGCACAAAGGTTTTAGATCAGGTTATTTTAGTGGCCTTTATATACAAAGCATTGTCAGCTTCTCTTGTCAAGGGAAAATTAATTCTGTTGTGCTCAAAATCCAGATTATCATTCTTATCTACATCTAAATGCAGAGTATGTGTGAAGTTAATAAATGGGTAATACCTGTGTTTCCAAAGCACCCTTACCACTAAGTAACATTTACGGAGGCCTTAGGCTGTGAACTTTTGCACTTTCTCTGTGATGAGAAGGATGAACACGGACTTTCACCCCTAAAGACAACGCCCCGGCGCGGGACTTACCTGACAAGATTCTCGTTGTCTCCGGTCCCTTTGCATGTCGCACACTCGGTTCTCAGGTCTTCAGCCTTGGGCTTCTTCTGCAGCACCGACTGTCTCTGTCTTCTCTCTCTGGGAACTCTTTCCTGCAGCCCAAGGGAGAATAAAATCACACAAAATCAGAATCCGAGGGCAATGAGTGACTGAAGAAGAAAGTTTCTCAAAAACGGTAAAAAGTGCTTAACTTATTCCAACCTCATGTTTTTCTTCCTCAGGAATGAAGCTTCGCTTCCGTCCTCTGGTTCTCTAAAAGAAAAGAAATTCCAAGAAAATATCTAGTATGTAAATACTGATACAAATAAATTTTCTCCGCTAAATGTCACCACTTAAATTAATTTGGCAAGTTAATATTTCTAATATTAGAATTCTAATAATATTTTTAATATTTCTAATTTCTAATGTTTCTAATTTCTGTTATACTGCTCCACTGCATTTTGTTCTAATTTATGTCTTCCAGAAGAAAATCATAACAGAATAGGCACACTTTGAAATGCTTTTTTTCCCTCTCACCCTGTAGCTGTTGGTTTTTCTGTGGTCTCCTGCTACCTTTAAGGCATCTTTCTCCTGGTCACTCGTCACATTCCTGTCTTTCCGATCTGATATTCTATCCACACTTCATACAATCTGCTGCCCACACTCTCACGGCAGGCTTTAACCTCCTGCCTTTCTGCCTGGGTCTCTTTCACTGGTTCCGTTTCTTGTCCACGCGTGGCGCTCAGGGTTTCCATTGTTTTCCTGAGCGCCTCTATTTGCTTATCCGTGTCTGCTTTAATGTCTTTCCTTTTGATAGTCATTTCGTCTTGCACTGTACGGATTATTTTTTCTATGGCCTCTTCCACTTGTTTTCTCACTTCTGCTGCTATCACTTCACAGAGTTCCCTTTGACGGCTTCCGATTTCCTCTCTTGGAGCTCTTGACCCGTCCTAGGTGGGCTGGGTGTTTGAGACTGCACTTTGCTTCTTTGTCCTGTCACTTTCTATTTTATTTTGTCCTCTTCGTTGATGCTTGTAGCCTTCTTACATTAGACAGCCTTATCACCTGTGTCGAGGCTTTGCTAGGAAGCGTCCTTTCCCCCGGATGTCTCCTAGATGTAGGTGATTCTCAGTCTTTATGTCCGTCCCAAGAACTCACCTTCTCAATGTATGAAGACTGAGGAGTTGCTGTCTATTTGACTTAGGCCCATTCCTCTGGTAATGGACTATGGTGATGGCTATGACTCCTTATAATCACAGTGTTGTACGTTATCTCACCTTATTGAAAAGTTTTTGCACAACTGAAGAAATCAACACAGTGATACGAAAGCCCATGGAGTGGGAAAAAATCATCACCAATTGTCTCTCAAAGGACTTCTATCTAGAATATATAAAGTACTGAAAAACATCAGACCGCCCAAATTCAAAGACCCAATCCAAAAATGGGCATCTGAGATGAATCTGCAATTCTCAGATGAAAATATACAACCAGCAAATAAATATATGGAAAACTGTTCAACCTCACTGGTCATTCAAGAGATGCAAATTCAAATAACACTGAGATTCCATCTCACCCCAGAAAAAATGGCTATCAACAAGGAATCACCCATAACAAATGCTGGCAGGGCTGCGGGGAACAAGGAACGCTTCTCCAATGTTGGTGGGAGTGTCGACTGGTGCAACCACTGTGGAAATCAGTGTGGAGATTCCTCACAAAACTAGGATTAGAGGTGCCATTCAACCCAGCTATTCACCTTCTGGGTATCTTCCCCCCCAAATTAAAAACATTACACACATTATACACATACACATACAGCAATGTATGTGTACCCATGTTTATGGCAGCACACTTGGTTACAGCTAGATCTTGGAAACAACCCAAATGCCCATCAACTGAGGAATGGATAAAAGAAGATATATAAATACAGATAGATAAATACTGATAGATACAGATACAGATATACATATAGATGTATAGATATAGATATATGAGTACTACTCAGCCATAAAGAAGGATATACTGGAGACTTTTATAGATAAATGGATGCAATTCAAGACCATACTCATAAGTGAAATAAATCAGACCCATAAGAGTAATAAACATTGTGTGTCTCACTAGTGTGAGAAACAAGAAGTAAATAAGGTCCAAAATGTACAACAGATATTGTGAATTGGGAAGAAACTTCAAAAGAAAAGACAAACTGATGGGGAAAAGGGAAAAGGAAGGAAGGAAAAAAGAAAAAAATATATGCACAAGATAGTTAAGATAGTTACACAGCTAATTTCTCTTAGCTCATTGAAAAGAAAAGCTTGTGCTAACATTGTTTGGACAGATATCATGCCTATATCTTGTACTCTGAGTAACTACTATGACAACAGCAATACACAATGTATTAATTAGTGTAACTCTCCTACCACCCTGCTTTGGAACTGTTTTATTATTGTTTTTATTTTTTCTCTTTAAAATTAAAAAAACAGTGTTTTTATTTTAAATAAATATTTGATAAGAATAAACTGTCCCAAGCTGTACTAGAGGATTTTTCAATTCTTCATATTTACCACACAATTATGATTTACTTGGTGCATTTAAATTTTCATAACTCATCTCCTGACTTCTGTAGCTGAACACTATTAAATCCGGGGCATCTATCACATCTATCACATCTACTGTGTGCCCACATCTGTGGGATGAAAAGAGACAATACTTCATAACCATGAAAAGAGGGAGGAAACAACCTCACAAGTCCTCGTATCCTAGTTAAAGTAAAACCAGTGGAAGGAATTCAGTCAAAATGTAACACCTCATATTTCAGAATATATCTGCCATTTGAAAAAGGCATCCAATCTTCAAAAGTAGTGTTTAGTACAATAGTGCTTACAGCCAGTATGTACCAAATTTCCAACCAAGGGCTGGGGATACAGCTCAGTGGCACAGCACCTGCCTGGCAAGCATAAGGTCCCGAGTTCGATTCCCAGTACCAATTAAAAAAAAATCTCCACTCCCATAGCACAGCCTCTGTAGATTTATGATCTCCAAATGCAAATCACTGTTCTTTAGGTATTGGAAGAATCACCATTTGTCTTACTTTTCTTGTTGCTAAGACAAAATGCCTGGCACCCAAAGTTAAAGGAGGAAAGGTTTACTTGGCTCATAGTTTGTAGAGGTTTCAGTCCATAACTAGCCGGCTCTAAGAAAAACAGTGCACACTGGGGAGAAAGCAGCAAAGCAACAAGGGATGACCACCCCTCTTTGTATCCCTTACGTTTTATCCAAGTGCTCAGGGCGGGACACCCTTAATCCTACTGCCCTTGATCCTAGCGCTGCACCGTGAATCAAACCCAGCATCACATACTCTAGATCCAGCCACCCTGAAGAAACCCCACCTAGGATCACATGAGGCTTTGGCGGCACACCTAGACACAAGCCTTAACACCACTCTCACAAGTTACTCAACAGTTCAGATTTTTAAAAGAGTTACAGTAGGAATCAAATAATTCCAAACAGAATTACTTTCTAAAATAAATTATTTTCTTAAATTACTGTAATTTCAAGTTTTTACATCATAAACTCCATTGTTATTTAATAACATGCCTAATCTCATACTATGAAATCTGCCCCTAGACAACCAGGAGTCAATTAAAGTTATTCCAAAAAAATAAACTTCTAGTCTATGTGCCCATTTACATTTATATTACTGATCAGCATGTTTTAATTACATTTTGGAATTAATTAGAAAGAAAAACTAAGTCTGTATCTTTAAATGCAGGCCCCGCACCTTCTATTCTCACTCTCGAAAAACAGCAGTAAGCCTTGCCTCTAAAAAATATCAACCACAGGGCTGGGGATATAGCTCAGTGGCACAAGCGCCTGTCTAACAAGTGCAAGGTCCTGAGTTCGATTCCCTGTACCAATAAATAAATAAATAATTTAAAATCTCAGCCATCGCCCATAAGTACCAGCATCCAGCGTGTGCTAAGCTCCTGCTGGAAACTCACAATCTCAGCCTCACTCCAATAAATTCAATTAGAATGTGCCTGTTAACAAGAATTCGAACTAAATCATGTACACATGAAGACCACCCGTACAGAGTCCTTAACATCAGCATTTCAGTTGATATCAAGTTCTGACTCTTTCTGACCAGCTCATTCTATATTCTTCTCTTTCCTTTCTGTGATGCTCTCATTACTCAATGCTTCAATTTCTGTCCCAGAAAAAAATTCATCTCAAAATTTAATCGCATTATATAAAGAAAGGATCAAGAATTTTGCTTTAACAGTTAGACTGAAAATAATAAATGATTATACTAATACAGAAATCATGAAAGATCTGACAAAAGTTTTGATTACTTTTCCCTTTTTTTGTCGATCTATCATCCATTGTCATAATTTACATATACAGAACTTTTTAGTAAGGTTTGAGAATAGTAAACTATACTAAGAGGAAAAGATTAAAATGATTCATTTTAGTTCAATTAATTTCTGAACAATTTCTGTTCAGTAGGCTTTTACACAGCTCCACACTCCTTTCATTTAACCTATCTTTCAGGTAATGAAGTACCATCCAGTTTTGAATTGATTTTTCAAGTATATATGTTAATGTGGCAAGTTCATGTTTTCAATTCTTTGAAGAAATGTAATTTCGAATAGAGCATCCCTCATCCAAAATGCAAGAAACTAGCAGTTTTCACATTTAGAGATTTTCAGACTTTAGAATGCTTGTATAGGCTTTAACAGTTGCACATTTTTAATCTGAAATTAAAAAAACACTGAAATCTGAAATACTCCAAGATCTGAGACTTTCTGAGTGCTGATACTCAGAAAATTTCAGATTTTGAGGCATTTCGTATTTCTGTATTTGAGAGGTTTAGCCCAGTTATGTTATGAATAAATATGAGTAACTCTGGCAAGTGTTCAAAATACATGCATAGTAAGCTCATTCTTCTGTACATACGAATATATGTATAATACACAATTACTAAAAAAGTTTCCAATGATGGAGCTATACTGAAGACAAATCACAGATTAAAATTCATAAAATATTAAAAGAAAATGCTGTGTATTTTGATGCCCATGAAAACAAAGTGGGAACAAAGTGCCATCTGCTCTGCTGGCTACCAACTAACAACAGATGTAGCGACAATCAAAAAAGGAGTGCTTCCCTTCTGGCCAGTGGTTTGTGGAGTTATTTTTATCTAATGTAGTTTATACAACAGGGTGATGAAAATATCTGAAGAATAAAAAGAAAATGATAACCAATATGGTTTAACTACTATAAATTAAAATAACTATAGAATTAAATATAAGGTATAAAAATACATTTACATAAGTTTCCTATAAAACTCTTCTCACTGATAACAGAATATACAAAGTAAACTCCTGAAGCTCCATCTGTTCTTCATTCTATTTCATAGTCCTTGAAATAAATAAAAATAATGGCTTTCTAAGAGGCAAAAGCACAACAGGAATTTTTAGGTTCCGAATAAAATTACTTGAGCCTAAGAGTGCCCAGGGTGGATCTCATCCCAGTTTTCCAGGTGCATATTTGAGTGAGTCAAGGATGTTCTAGTTCACCACAGAATCGTCTGGCTTTCTTTAAGAACCTACAACAGGCAGATGCTTCATCATCTGTTAGTATATCAGAGGTCACCCTGAGTGTAGTAGTAGGTATCTCTGGTATCTAAATCACCCATAAAATTTATCTTTTCCAGCACTATAATAATGCAAATTATTAGTATAAAGAGAAGTAAAATAAAGCAGTGAGACCTGGTCATTCCAATAGAACAGACTCCAAAGGGTTTCCATGTTTTTCATATATATGTGATACGTGTGTATGTATGTATAAACTTCCTATTTTTAGATTCTCAAAACTGTGGTCGTAACATCATTAAATGGCTACACTGCGTATGCGTGAAACAAGTTAGAACACAACTGTAAAGAAAGTAGACACAAGGATATTCGGTTATTTTTCAAATAAAAACTACCCCTTAGAACAGGCTTCCTAGCTCACAGTGTTAAGACAGGAAACCACACGAGTAAATACCTCCTTGTTTCTCTGGTGTGAGAAGCTGCAAGTGTAAATAAGGTCCAAAATGTATAACAGATACTGTGAAATAGGAAGAAAACGTTCAAACAGAAAAGAAAACTAGGGAGGGAGGAGGGGAAAAGGAAGAGAAAAGAAAAAAAGGATGAGAAAACAAGGAAAAATGAAACAAAGCTTTTGTAAATAAGCAGGGGAAGAAGGGCTGAAGGGGGTGGGGGGACGGGGAGAGAATCAGGTTATACCGTGCACAGATACCAGCTCCATACAAGGAACGTCACCATTATGCATACCTAAAATGTACCAATAAACTCCATTAATATTTTAAAACCGACAGAAAACCAACGAAACGTGGTTAAATCCCTTTCCAAAATAATGATCTGAAAAAAACAGTGCAACCGGGAAAACTGGTTTTCCATCAAAGCTAGTGAAGTTTTTACTCCTTAAAGAAATGCTGCTAAAAAGTACTTTGATTATTTATTGCACTTATTTTGAAAAAGATGAAATATATAAAACATAACAAAATTTGTGTCAGGAAGAAAGATCTGAGAACTTCAAAGAAAATAAGATGATGCATATGTGTTTAAGAGCATGGAAAGACAGCGCTCCGAGTCCTCTGGCACTTGTTCAGAAGATGAAAAGTCACCGGGTGACACAGAGTAAGAAATACAAAAAGAAAATCTGAAAGCTTTCAAGTTACATTACAGTTATTAGGACACAAGCCCAACAGTACAAACATCAATTTTAAAGTAACTTCAAAAGGAACATGGATAAGCTAATTTATATTTTTTTCCCAAAAGTAACTGCCTTGCCTAAAAGGAAAATTTTCCACATGAAAAATAACACAGAAAAAAAATGTCTAAGTAAAAAGGTAGTTAAACAGAAGTATCCCTACAATTCCGTAGTTTCGCCATGAAATATGATTAACATACAAGAACGAGACCAATTCCCTTGTGAACAGGACCGTTCCGTCTACCTGAAGTTCGGCACCATAAGACTACAGTTACCAAACCAGTAAGTACACAAATAATGACTTGTAAGTGCAACTAAGGTACAGTACCGTACAAAATAAAGTCATAGATCATTCAGTCTCACCTATAATTCACTCATCAAATTTTTCTTAAAATCAAGAGTTATTTTTAATATCTTTATTACTGCTACAAAACCCATCTGAAAAATGGGTATATGGGCCAGGCATGGCAGCAAATGCCTGTAATCCTGGCATTGTGGGAGGCAGAGGCAGGAGGATTGCAGTTTTAAGTAACAAAGAAGCTGGAGATGTACTTCAATATAAAGGTCCTGTACTTAAGCCATATATACATATACCCTAACAGGCTTTTTCACTATTCAAAGAAATGTTGCAATGTGTCAGAGGGGGAAAAAAAACAACCACAAAGATAGACTTCAAGGCTGGAAAGGAAGGGCAAGAGGATAAAGTGGAAAAAGGAATACAGAACGCTGGCAGAAACACCGACTACATACGGGATCACGATAAGTACTCTAACTGTAAGCAGGAGGAACGTGGTGTAGAAGTATAAAAAAGGGTGCACGACACATCGAAGTCAAAGGAATTGGACTTAACTACACTTCACAGACATACTAAACAGTAGTACAGATCATGTCATTACCTCACACAATCCTCCCCGCCCAGTGCAGAAAGCCCTCCCAACAGCATCGCTGGCCGCTGAAAGCCTCAACTATTCCAAGGAACAAGAGGCGGGCACCCCACTGTGAGAAAACATTCCGGTCGTTGCTCTGTTTTACCGCCAGAAAATCCACTGCCACTGCCCAAGCAGGCATGCATTACAACTGCTTAAGTACCTGAAGAGAAATGACCAGACTTTATCATATGAAAACTCTGTACATTCTCATTCATTTACTACACTAATAAACATAGAAAAGGCTTGATCACAATGTGATAAGGACAGAAAATGAAACAGCACTATGGGAACCACATTCCAATTATTCCTTGGAGTATCCTTTCTACAATATCCTCACTCAAGTCACTTTCTCTAACATGTAGTAATATTAGCTTTTGCTCTCATAACTCATACGATCAAACCTGAAGGCACAGAGAGTGATGAGGAAGAACTAGGGCATGGAAAGCTTGTGTGCAATTCTGCTTTTTAAAATGTGAGACCCGCAATCTCCTTAACCGTCCAGAAGTCTGGCATCCAAGTGTACAAGAGAGCACTGTATTCCTACTGAGTCTGAATTTCTGAGAGAAAAGGATATCCACAATGACTGTCATGGAGTTACTCAAAGAAAAAGCCGCCAATCATAAAATCTCCCCATAAGAAACACCTGGGTAGGAAAACGCCACACAAACCTTTTTTTTTTTTTCCCAATACGACTGGATATCCAAAAATCCACAGGCATCTGAATGCCTCAACGTGAAAAAGACAAACACAAGAAATAAGGAAGCCAGGGGAAACATCGGCCGTGCAGGATACAGAAGAAAACGAAACAACTACAACTAATATCCCCCACAATATCAAAGGCTGTGCAGTCACGAATAAGAACACTTGCTATTAAGAGAAAAAGCATCGAATTACATACATATCCAAATTTAGAATTATTTTTCTCAAAGAAAATCACGTATATTTGAGAGTAACTAGGATTACAGTCTGCAAAACAAAGGTTAAAGCAATCTTTAAAATGAGCTTCCCCGCGTTAGAAATTTAATAGAAGAGCTGAAAAATAAACAGAATGAGTTGAGTAACAATCCTCACAATTTAATCCAAGTGTTTGTCTGTATTCCTCCCCTGGGAGCTGGAGTCAACACACCTGAGAAACAACTTAGTGAAAAGCAAAGGTACAACTCTGGGATCAAGAAAGAGGTAAAAGGAAAACTAGAAATTAAAAATACTAATAATAATAACAAAAATACAAAACTGGACCAACTGAAGACAATGCAGAGAAAAGAATGAAGCAACCTGGAACACTAACCCTGGCTCCTCGGGAGGGGATCTGTCTCCACACACACAACGTAAGCCTGAAGAGCATCTGCTCCCCGGAGAAATGAAGGACCAGGCCAGAAGCACTAGCCCCAAGCAAAACCCGGTTACTGTGAACTGCAAAGACTGCGGGACTTTTACTCTGAAAGCGACTTCTTCCAGAGTGGGACGACAGACCCCCTGGAGCACCCGCCGTACTGGAGAGAGATTAGGGAGAAGTCACTGGGGAGGGCTCATTCTGTAAGACTTACCTATCAATGGAACCAAACGAAACAGAGCAACTACACTTCAGAGTTCTGCGTCACCACAGTGACTGCTGGAAAGACACCACACCCAAACCCAAATCCAAGGAGGTTTCCTGGACCATTTCCTTTTGTCTGGTTCTCTGTTTCAGGGGTCGGGGTAAACTTCCTTCTTTTGAGCTTTATCTTTTTCCTCTTTTCCTTATTTTTTTTTTCTGTTACTTTTACCTACTACCTGATTCTTTTATTCTTTAAATGTATTCTTTATCTCACTTTCTCACCCTTCCTTCTCATCTTTTCTTTATCCTCAAGTTTTACTTCTTTCACCTCTGCTTCCCCACTCTCTCTATTTTTAATACTGTTTTATTAATTTTTAAGTATTTAGTGGACTCTGCTATTCCTGCTAAATTTTTTTCTATTGTTAGTGGTGATAGAGCTGTTGCGTACAGTAAATGTTTACTATACATGAATAGGTTGGTCTTAGTGTCTACTGCTGACAGTGATATATACATAGTAGCATTTGTTGGTTTGTATAATACAGTAGTCAATATCCAGTTTGTCTTTGTTAATGCTGTTTTTGCTAGCAGTGGCACAATTGTTGCTATTAATTGTTTATTGTTAAAGATGATACAGTAGCTTTTATTGGATTGTATATAATACAGTGTGTCAATAACCAGTTTGTCTGTAACTCTGTTACTACTGCTAACTGCTTTTGCTAGTGGTGGTAGAGTTGTTGCTATTAATTGCCTTTACGTGATGCAAATACCTGCTTTGTCTTTGTGTCACCATATTACTGGGTTTGTTATCTCCTCTCCGTGTGGTGCTTAGGATCAAGGCACCAAAAGAAGGTTGGACCTCAAATATCATGCTGAGTAGGTTGAAGAAGGGTATAAACTCTGAAATAGAAGGAGCAGCACTGCAGAAAACAAGCAGGAGCAGCTATCTTACTTTCAGACTCAACAGACTTCAAGCTAACGCTCACGAAGGAGACAATGACGGCCGCTACATACCGGTAAGAACAGTTTAACAGGAAGAGGTAACAACTGTAAATATCCGTGCACTGAATGTTGGCATAGCCAACTTCATAAAACTACTTGGAGAAAGTACAGACACAAACCAACACAATCACAACAGGTGAATTCAACACCCCACTCTCACAAGTCACCAGGTGAATCAGACAAAAAATTAGCAAGGAAATACACAGTTAAACCACACCACTGAACAAATGGACTTAACAAGTGTCAACAAACAATAGGTATTTCATCGAACACCAGACACGTTTTTCTCAATAGCACATAGATCATTTTCCAAAAAGACTATATCCCAGGCAATTAAGCATTTTTAAATAAATATAAAACAACAAATATTTCTTGCAAACTATCAAATCATGATGGTGTAAAGCTAGGAATCAACAGCAAAAGAGACCAGTGGAACTACACAAACACAGGCAGAACGAACAATGATTACTGAATAACCAATGAACAATGATTACTGAAGAAATAAAGTTTCTAGAACCAAATATCAAAGAAAGCACAACACGACAAGACCTAAGGGACATATAAAAGCAGTTCAATGGGGATCTATAGCTGTGAACTGACACATGAGAAGAACTGAGCAAGCCCAATGACCTCATGGGGCATCTCAAGTCCTAGAAAAATCAAGAACAATCCAAATCCCAAACTTAGAGAAGAAAATAAATTAAAAAGACTGTGCAGAAATTGATACAAATGAATATTCACCATCATCATGTATCACAAACGTACAACACTAGTAAAAAAAATTTTAATAGTTGAATGTTGCATGGCTTTTCCTGCTGAAGGTATGCTATAACTCACTAATAACCTTACGCAGTAAGTTAATCGATATTAAAACAGATTACACTGACTTCCCCCTATTAGCTTGAAAATTTTACCGAGTTAGTAACACAGCGATGCCGTCTGGGAGATGCCCGAAGGACACTGCGGAATCGGGGAAACAGTGCGAGTTTGCAGGGAAGTCTGTGAACTAGTAGAAGTTCCACAAAGCTACAGAATATGAAGGAGCCAAGCTCTGACCCCCACAGCCTTCTGAGAAAAATGGCCTACACTTCACCCAATTTCAGGTGACTGACACCGATCTGCAGAGCAAAGGGGATTATAGAAAACGTGGTTTCCAGCCTCAGGTGCGAGGCAGTCAGGTGCTCGCAGTAGAGGGATGTGCTGAACTAACCACGATCTAGCACAGCAAGCGGCTGCCTAGCGAAGTGCTTGCCCGGCACAGTCGTCTCCCATGGGCTGCCTCCCCTCCCGCTTCTCTTTTCTCCTCGAGGAGTAGCATGTCTTTTGAATCCATATTTTCCAACGCTGAGTTTTGTGCAAGACCTGCAGTGGGTCCCTGACTAAGAGGCTGAAGGAATCACCAGCAGCCAAGATCTAGAGACAGTCACCTAAAGCGCTGCACAACGCCAAGTTTACTGTAGATCACAGGAGTGAGACGGTTTACAGGCTCAGGAGGGTTGGAAATTTAAGAGTGGTTTATACATTCGCTGGCTTTGTGGACATCCAGCCGAGCCCTCAGTATTTACCACATAATTAAGAGTCAGGTTCTCCCTCCCTTTTTCTTTTTTTTTAATTTAAAAAAGTATTAATTGAAAGTAACAGAGATGAAACAGGAAACCTTAAAAAAAAGGCCTTATAATAGATATATTAGCCTGTTGTAGCCCAGCCATTTTTTTCTTCCTCTTTATTTTTCACAAGCTAAGAAATGAATACAGAGGTTTTTTCATTAGACACCTTGATGAAGAAAGCCCCATTCATTCCAATAATATTGGGCAACTCTTTCCTTCAGAAATTTTTTATTTATCCCATCCCCTGTCATAGCTGTTGTTTGGACGGTCAGCTTCAGTGTAACTTATTTACTTTCTAGCTGAAGAGCTTAGACTTTGGATTTGCACATCCAGTATGTATGATAGTATCACCTTATAAAATAACAACTTTTAGATAAGTTACCTAATTTTGGAGAAAATTTCCTCCTAATTTTACCTTCTATAATGATAGTCTGTAATGATAACACTAAGGGCTATTTTTCATACCTTTTTCATTTATTGTAGGAATAGAAATATTTACCTTTAAGGCTAGAATCTAACTTAAACTAAAAATACAACTTCTTTTGTGTTAGGGGAACTGCATGTCTTTCCATGTACACAAACTTGTTTATGAGGCAGGGAGTTAATTTATCTATCTTGGCTACCTTTAAATGTAAAATGACCGGATTTCATATAAAGTATTTTCTTTTGTTTCACACATTATTTAAGTAAAAAAAAATCCAGGTCTTTTAGGACTCTAGTTTGCTTGCGACTCCTTGTCCTACCGCTGGACCATGATTAGGTGTCTGCATTTCAACAGATACCTACCGAGAAACTAATCGTGTAAAGCACTGGAGCGGATGCTGCACAGAAAATCAAAATGAAAGCGTCATCTGTGCCCTCCAGGCAAAGCTGACTCAGGTAAACCTCCCAGTTAGAAAGTACAGGGGCTCAGGGGTGAACTGCCCCGTTAGGAGACGTAACGGCCTTGCGGTGGGAGAGGACGACAGAAGACGGAGGTGAGCCTCCAGGACGCTTGACTATCACCAGGGAAGGGCTCTTCTGGGTGAGACAGCCTCTGTTTTGAATTGCCCAAAATCTTAGGGCCCATCAGTTGAATTTTTTTAAATGACAGCAAGCTGAGAATCTGTAAAAGCATTGATGCCCTTTAGCATAAAATTTAGTGTAAAATTTTTGAGCATTTCATAATAACTTTAGCCAAATTGCCTACATGGTTTTATAATAGCCTTTACCATTTGTACATTCACTACATACACTATTTTCATTCTTTTCAATGGAAACAGTTCTTCTAACTCATTATTTTTAACAAGAAATCTTTACTGCTTTACTTTTTTAAAACTGCTTTGCTGGCTAGTCTGTTTATCACCTGTGGATACACAAAATGTAGAAGACAATATCCTATGAAAGTGCTATCTCAAAATGTATTGTATTCTTTCAGATTTCTATAAATCCTTATTAAGAAAACCAGAGTAGAATGAAAGAAAAAAATGGCTTTCCTGGGTATCTAAATGACACAGTCATACTAGGGCCTGCGGAGCGCTCTCTCCCCACCGAGCTCTCCGGCCGTGGTAGTGGAAACCTGCCTCTCAGCGGGAAAAAGTAGATGCCGCTCTTGTGACAGCAACTGTGCTGGACTCAAAACACGGCGTGCGGTGCGGAGTCCGAGCTGAGGGCCCGCCTTCCTCAGCACTCATCATCCCACGCGAGACGTCAGAAGGACGCCCGGGGCTTCACCAGAAGAGCTGAGATGCAGAAGCCCCGCGTTCTGAGAAGGTCTGGAGCAGCTAACAAGCGGGGAGGGGCAGATCGACCGTGCACTCCTCCATCTTGGCTCTCAGGACACAAGGACACGCTTTCTCGGAGCAGGTTTCACTGTAGCTACGATTCACAGGAAAAAGCGAACTACAGCCGAGTACCAACATAAACACCCAGTAGTAATTTACATATATACATGCTACCAATGTACTTACTGGGTTTCTGCTCTAACTTTTTTTGTTTTTGTTTCTTTTCTTTTCCGTATCGACTTCCCCAGGGTAGAAACGCTGACACCGCTGTACTGTGACAGGAGCAGCGTGGACGTTCCTGCACAAGCCTGACAATGAGCACTGCTAACACTAAGACAGCAGCAAGGAAAGGAGTGCTGAATCTAGCACAAAATGTGAACGACTCAGTTACGCAAGACAACACTATGCAGGGGAGAGAAACAAGGAACATCCTGGCGTCCACGAGAGCATCACGCAAAGACCAGACCCGCTGACTACGGCACCCAGTAACCAAATGTGGGGCCCTGCCATGGAACCTCAAATAAAGTTTACCCACAGATCTCAGAAAAGACATGAGCTCTTAATTCAAGATGTCTGGGTTTGATCTGACTTGTTACTATCTGGAAGACCTGCGGTGAGTTAATCAAGCCTTCTGTGCCCCAGCTTCATGACATGTAAAGAGGGAGCTCTGACGGTTAACAAACATGACCTTATTAAGAAGGGGGGCACAATGGGGGTTTAGTGTCTCGCACCTAACGAACTCTTGATATATGCTAAGTATCGTCACTATTATAACATCTCATGCAAAGGCCAACTAATACCCCTGTCCTACCATTCCCTCTTATGACTAGCTTAGAAAAATCAAATGGAACGACTAAAATAGATAGAACATATTTGTATGTAGTTTTTTGCTTTGTATTTACATTTTCCCCCCAATGTTTGCAAATTCAAGAGTGCCAAAATTCTGTGGCTCTAGTCAAACCCATGAAGACAAGATTGGGAGAGATGTTCTAAAGTATGCACAGCTTCAGTAAGTAATTCCTTTTACTTTTTCTGAGAAGGCTTCAATGAACAGCGTATGAGAATTACTGGACATACTCTTATTCTACATGCAAATCTCAAGTTTTGTGATCACTTTCACCTCAGCAATGTAGAAAAATGAATTCAGTTTAAGGACAGGAAGGAGGGTAGCCTATAGAAACTAAATATTTTTTAACATAATATCTGAATAATTGAGAGAGAAAAATATAGACATTTTATGAATTATACTCCATGTATTTAAAATCATTGCAATTAATAGGGTGAAAGATTTAAAATTTTGTTTAAGAGGCTGAGTTTTTCAAATTAAACATTCATTTTATCCAGATGTGGTGGCACATGCTTGTAATCCCAGCACTCGGGAGGCTGAGACAAGAGGATAACCAGGAGTTTGAGGACAGCCTGGGCCACAGAGTGAGTTCATGACCAACCTGAACTACATACGGCTACTCTATCTCAGAAAACCAAATAAATAAATAACACTCACTTTATTTTTAGGGGGGAAAAAAGGGAGCAAGAGGAATTCATCCAAAACGGTAAAATGAAGATCAGGTCTCACTGATCACTCTCTTCTGTGTCACCCTCATTACTGCTACCCTGGCGAGGCACGGGGCCTCACTCACATGCTGACGCAAAGGCTCTCAGAATTAAGCAACAAAGGGAAAGGAAGGCAGATGTAAAGGAAAGAGCAACGGCAGATAACCATACACATTACTTACTTATTTTCAAACTCCGTGTGCGTAACACCTAAGGAAGTTACTTAGCCCAAACCCATAGATTCTAATTTGTTAACTGCAGGATGGGGCCAAAGTCTTCCCCGAGGACGCTGAGGCAAGTAATCCACATTTCCAAACCTGGTGCACCCCACACAGTACGCTGTGATGCAGTTTTTAAAAATCTTTACATGTAAAATTAAATAAAAAGATAAACAGAAGCAATGTTTCTAAGTAGTAGGACTTTTTGGAGCATCAGTAAACATCTAAATTCTCGTGAGAAAATAACCATACTGAATATCTTAAAATTACTGGATTGTATCCTTTCTATGGTTTTTAAGCCACCAACACCTTGAAGTCTAAAAACCTCTGACAAGAAAAATAAAGAAAAGAATCAGATGAAAGGAACTGGACTAAATTAGGAAAATTAAGAGCTTCCTTATAATTCTAGTGTAGAAAAGCGAACAGGTAAAGGAGACTAAAAATACAGTTCAAAGATGTTCTTTTAAGTAACACCGAACTATGGACATACTCTGACTTGACATATCGCGATGATGTACTTAATCTCCCTCCGTACTGTAACTCTAAATTAAAGATGATAATACTGCTCCAAAGGATTTCTGCAACAATCAAAAAACTGGCAACATACTGTTTCATAGGAGGATAATCTTAATAGACATATGAATTAATAACAGCTTTTCTCTAAGATCCTAAAAATAGTTGTTGATATTTGCATCAGTTACAGAAAATATTTTGGAAATGGAAATTAACAGGCTTATTTTAAAAGGGAAAATTCTCTCTAAGTCATTCATAAACCAGATGAATTTTATTTTCTTAATTTTTTTTATTTTCTTTTTGAGCCAGCATCTTGCTATGCAGTTCAGGCTGGCCTTGAGCTCACTTTGTAGCCCAGGCTGGTCTCGAACTCCCAAAGATCCTCCTGCCTCAGCCTCCCGAGTGCTGGTATTACAGGCACACGCCACCACCCCCAGCCCTACCAGATGAATTTTAAAGTTGAATAAGATATGTTTTAAACCACGGGGATTACAAGTAAACTATTCTATGATGCTCCACTTAGAACACCTAAAATAAACTATGTGTTTCAATTACCTGAGAGACAGCAATTCCCAGACTGGTTTTACCAACTTCAATGAACCTCTAACACAGAGAGGAATGAAGTCATCGCAGTGATTTCTCTTAAATAAGACTTTCAGCTGATTTAAAAAATATTAGGGGTTATCATGGGTTTTTACAATGTAGAACCTTTTGAGAAAATTGTATCTTTGAGAGAAAAAAGTGAAACAGTTAACAAACCAAAAGATGAGGAAAACACACTAAAAAAATCTCCCTCAGAGAGATCTAGATTTTGAAAAGTTCTTGCCTTGACTCAAGGCAGAAAAGAAAAAATTTTTCTTCTAACAATTCATAACTGTAAACCAGCCTTTACAGGTTTAGAGGAGAAATTTATATACTAATACTATGGAAAAACTCCATCTTTTATTTGAAATAACCTTCCATTGAGAGAGAACCTCAAGTGCCTGATATCAACGAACACAACCGCCTTCTGGAAGAAAAGATTTAAATCATGGCCTAAATGAATTTTCAATGAGGTAGAAATTTAGAAAAACATTTCCAGATACATTTTCCAGAAGGAGAGATGAAATTTAAACAAAAATATATGAACAAATGTTCAAAATCTTTAGTACTAAAGGAAATGGAACTGAAATGACAACGTGCTTGTCTTCCTGGCATCACTTTGGAAGCATTTAAACACTGTCTGTGAAACAACAGAAACACTGCCCATTGCAGGTGTGAGTGTGAGTGGGTGTGGGAAACATGTGACACTGCCCAGCAAATAACGATGCAGACAGCCTGAACTGCAGGACAGCTACACTCAGGGTGCACTATAATTAGTCCTACCTTGCACAGAAGACATTTACAAGAATATCTCAAACAAAGTTAGTAATAACAGATCACAGAAACTAACTGTTCATCAACAGAAAAAAAATGAAAAACTAGACAATGATCTATTCTTTCAGTAGAAATCTAAACATTAGTGAAAATAAACGAGCTACAATCACATGGACCAGTATGCATGAATCAAATCCATGTAACACTTTCAAAACATTAAGTTATAGCAGAAAAATTTGCTTTCTTTCACACGAAACTCAAACTTTCAAGACTGAATTATGTATCATTTTTGGTTACACAGGTTTGAAATGTAATCACCAAACAGAAGACTAGAGAGAGAGACGTAAGGCTGAGGGAGGAGGTGACCTCAGGGGTGTAGACACGGGGAAGAGATGCTGAGGGACGCACCGGGAAGCACCAGAGCGCGGGAAGTCCTACCTTCTAAGCTGAGTGGCAGATATCCTGGGTGCTCACTATTATTACTATTACGCTTTCAACTTCATATATAAACAACAAGCTCTCGGGGAAAAACAGTGTATGTATAACTTAGAAAAGTACACTTTTAAAAATAACCAATAATAATTACCACACATTTCTTTCTCTGAGTCCTAAGTATATGTTAACCCTCTGCTTTCTCAGCCTCTCAAGTCTGTAGTCAGAATGTTATTATAATTATGAAAAATAAGAAATAAATTACCGTGTTTCTTATGGGGATCTTCTTGGGCTCTGGCGGCACATCCTGCGGAACGAACTTCACTGGCTCCTTGATCTGCCTCCGCGACCGCTTCGTCCCATCCGGCAAGGTCTCCATGGCCATGTCTGCTTCCATGTCGCTGCTCCCTGCCTGGTCACACTCTGAGCACTGCCTGCGTAAGTTTGGAAAAGGGCAGGGAAGGTGACGTATTTACTCGCCTCTGGCTTTAACTCCAGTTCCTACAAATACAAAATACAGCAACGCACACGGACTCCACAGAATGACTACCAAGCCCATAGGAAGCAGCCCAACCATTCCTGCAATTATCGTAAGAACGCAGGCAACAGTGCTGCACGCAGGCCTAAACAGTACAGCACCACTTTAAAAGGTAGCTTCCCTTTGGAAATGGTGACTTTTCCTTAAGTGACTTAAGAGGATAGCATCTGAAAATCACAATCCGTCACGACAGTAACTCCATGGCTTGTCACGGTTATCATATATTTCTGATAATGAATGGAAGCTGAGCTAAAAACACCACTGAAAGAAAACTTCATAGAAAGAAACCCTGGGAATGATGACAAACTGGTCATTCTACTTGGCTGTCCATGTTACTTCTAAAAGAAAAATATGAAAATTTACCTCCTAAAGGGAGTTGCTAAAGCAGCGTTTATGAAGCACTTTTAATACGTGTAACATCAGACAGTGACTGCACTGAGACTTCAGACCAGACCGAGCTGAACTCCAGAACTTCCCACGATGCCAGAGCCGCAGCCAGGAGCCAGACACAGCTGCTAGGCACTTCAAATGTGGCTGGTAGAGCTGCGGGCTGCGGTGTAACTAACTGACATAGCTACGCGGGTCTGGTGGCTAAAATCTGAACACGGTGATAGATAATGACTGCTTAAAATCTTTACATTGTCAATCATGAAGCCCCTTTCAAAAGCCTACAGTCAGTGGTTAAAAACTTTACTCATACTATTTTCTTCAAACTTAAAACAACGCTCAGACCTAAGAAATATTCCAAAAGTCTTACTTATAGTACTATTACCTTTATGAAAACCATTATACTGTAACACATAAAAATGTCTGTGTTTATATTAGTATACATGGATGTAACATACTTCAAATATTTTTAAAGATTTCTTATCATGTAATTCACGGTCCATAATTTGTACCTCCCACTCATTAGCACTGTAAGCTTAATAGCATACTAATATTCAGTTTGAAAAGTGAGAGCTTCCAATTCTGAATTCTAACCACAGAGTTAACTATAAAGGACCATTTGCTTTGTTAATGCAAAGATACTAAGTGCTAAAATGCAAACTAACATTTAAAACATCAATTTAAATCTTTTTAAGGTTAACATTAGGTTCAAATTATTATTATTAATTTAAAAAGACTAATTTTAATGAGATGGTGGTAGAAACATAACACTACTGTTTTAAAATTTAAGAAATTATCAACTAGAGCTACTCCAATAAATCAAGGCTTTCCTATTCACTTATCTTCCAGTAGACTTGCTCCAGAAAGAATCTAAGGCTGGGGGCAGCAATATAGCTCAGTGGCACAAGTGCCTGCCTAGTAGGTCCTGAGTTTGATTCTCGGTACCAAAAAAAAAAATCTAAGGCTGGGCTATCTACTGTTAGCAGAATGAAGATTTAGTAAAGAGTATTAGCACAGTCTTGCAGAGCATAAAGACAGCAAAAGCAAAAATTGGTAACCCTCAGAAATATATACCAGCCAAGCATGGTGGCACACACCTGTAATCCCAGTACTTGCCAGCCTGGGCTACAAAGTGAGTTCAAGGCCAACCTGAACTGCATAGCAAAACCCTGTCTCAAAAAAAAAAAAAAAAAAAAAAAAGGAAAGGAAAGGAAGAGGAGAAAGAAAAAGAAAGGAAGGAGAAAAGGTAAGAAGGAAGGAAGAAAAAAGGGAAGGGGAGGGGAGTCGGGGGAGGGAAAAGAACACCCCGGCAGTATGTGCAGAAGGTAAACCAAAGGTTACATTGAGAGGGTCTCCAATAAGGGCTGAGAAACAGAGCCCTAATAAAGGACTAGCAAGAACCAGGCAGGGACTACTGTACAACAGAATCGGTGAGTGACGCGCTAGTGAGTATCTCACCCCGGCTCTCTGGAGGAAAATCCCTAATTTGTGGCATCTGCCAATTTCCAGGTAGGATATACCTTGGCAATTTCACATTACCAAAATGACATCATACAATGCAAAGCAGGGAAAAGCTAAGTAGCGGCAGCATTATAGTTTTGCCATGATACAGATTTACCAAACTTAGATAACCTCAAGAGAACAGATTCAGTTTAAGAGATTATGCATATTTAACAAGGTGTTTGAAGAACACATGACACTTTTTAAATAGATCACCATTTTAAGGATCTGAGGGTTGTTCCTTTCTAAAAGTTGAAAGGTGTTTTGTATAAAAAGAACATTCATTTCATTCCAATGTTTTTCGTTTCCTATATTCTCCACCCTATAAGAAATCAAGTCAATTAGAAGTTGAACACCTGAATCTCCCTTGACTAAACTAAAGAATAAAAGTCATTAAAGACAGCATAAGCTTTTCTCAAACATCGTAGGGATCCAATTTGTTTATATTAATGAAAAAACTGTTGCAGATAAGGAATGGCTGCACATCTTGCATACCTACAGCACAGAAGAAAACATAAGTAAAAATTTTGGTGGCACTGACAGAGATAACACCAGTTCCAACTAAAACCATGAAAATTGAGGCAAATTTTCATAAATTCATATGTTTCATAAATTCATGAAAAATAAAAATAAAGCATCTGAGAAATTCCTAACAATAAAAAAATTATGAACAGATTTATGCTATATAAAACCTGCTAAGATATCAAAATAGCCAAAATTAACTGGAAATTCATTTCTCAAATAAAAATTGTTAGGTTTTTTTCATATAATAGCACAATAAATTTATGAAAACACTGATTCAAAAATGTGCCAAATACTTTATTATCATTCAGGATCACGTACTACTTCCTTTTAGAGTGATGAAACAGAAAGTAACCGGTTCTAACACGGAAAGCCCTTGCATTTTCCTTACCAGTAACTATTTTTGGTCTTTCTTGGCATCCTTGTAAGAGGGGGGTCCAGACATCCAAGGTGGTAATGGAGTTTACAGGTGTCACACAATAAAAGAAGATGCTGGTCATGGTTCTTCTTACAGATCCCACAGCTTCAAATAAACGCAGCAAGTAAGGTTAGACAGACCGCAGCAGCGACACGCAATTCACACTCAACACTTCAAATTTTTAAATTTTAACCTCAAGTAACACTTCTTTTGTTATGAACCTTTCTTATAAAACAGGTATTTTCACAGTATCAGTATATTATATCAAACGTATTTGTTATAAATACCTGTGAAAGTGTTAAAACATGGTCTGGATCTAGTACAAACAAGTATAACTAGAGTCAAACCTTTCAAAGAAGGGCATATGTAACCTATTTATTCTTAACATCGTCTTAATTTTAATTATTAGCAAAAACCCATTTAAAGTTAGTTTCATCTTTCTCGAGAAACATTAATTTATCTGAACCAAAAGAAGTTTTCACTTTTCTAAATCTTCTCTAAAAACTACAAAAGCAATTATTTCACAAATGAAATTCTGTTTATTTTCTGCTATTAATTATAAACCTTTCAAAGAATCTTCCAAAACAAAAATAAGCTACATACATAAATAAGTCTCCTCAAAATCAGATATTAATTCTTTAAAATATTTCACTGACAACTGAAAGTATTTCGGAGTTTTGCAATGGTTGGTACTGTGAAGTTTCTTTGGTTTGTTTTATAAAAATCTAACATTTTTCTGAGAAAGACAAGCTACTGAGAACTTGAGCACCATGACCCAAGAACTATATGTATTGGCTATGTGCAGAATAAGGGAAGAACCTGTTGAGAACGAGAAGAATCATTCATGTACATGAACAGCAAAAGAGCAACGACGTTTGTGTTTACTTTTAATATTTAATATTTAATATTCATTTAAATTTTTTATATTTAATTTCAATTTATTTAAATTTAATATTTTTTTTAAAATTTTTTTTATTAATATTCATTTTGATGTTCCTAGAAAAACAAAACAACCACTATCTGACCTCAGGGTAAAACAGACAAATCACTTAGCATATACTCCAACACAAAAATGAACTGTAGTCACGCAAGCTGGAAGCATGGCGACCCGCTTGATGATTCCAGTAGGCGAGCTGTGCTGAGAAAGTGGACCTCACTACGTACTAGTGTTTGCATCACACCTTACAGCGACAGTGGGCTTTTCCTATATTTCACGGAAGCGATTTGCTATTACCTGTGAAAGACTCTACAATACGGGATGGAAAACAGTTAAGGAGACTGACACTGTCATAATGTGGTTACTTCTAAGAAAGCAGTTCTGGGAAGAACGTGTGTGTATATATGTTATATATTCATAAGCATATTCGTGCGTATACAGATGTGTACATATGCATGCACGTGTATATATATGTACACATGCATGCATATATACAACGCATCTTCTAAACTCAATATAATCCCTATAATGACACAAAAAAGGGAGACACTACTTCTTTAGATAAGTTTTGAATATGTAAGATTACTACAATGGAGAGCATTACAAAACTATTTCTAGACTGAATAACTGTAAAATTACTGCAACTGAACAAAGAAAAGAATACGCACAGACTCAAACCAAACATCTGTCTTCGTTGTACATCACCTACAAAGACAAAGGACTCAGACCTTGTGTATAATACCCATCACTATCTAAAAACACAAACAAGACTTCATAATAAAATAGAAAAATAAAATAGTAAATAAAAATAAGAACAAAATAGTAAAATAAAATAGAAATTTCTATGTATTATGTCATTTTAACTATTTAATGCAATAAGCACGTTTTTTAGCATAATGTTCCAATTTCCCAAACAGAATTCTTTATTTCCATGGAACTTATACAGAGATATGCCCAGGTAGTAAAAAGACACAAAAAGTAATTTCTCTTATTAAAAAAGAACAAAAGTCTATCATTTGACCTAGAAAGTATCTTTAGTAAAATGAATACGAAATCCACTTAAATTCTAGCATGGATATAACTCACTCTCAAAAACGTTAAGTACCTTCTTCCTAGTCAGTATTAGCTAAAAATAAATTCATTACTTGCCTATAAAGCACTGTAGGAAGAGCAGATGTCTTCTGTGTGCCTCCTTCTTTTTTACTCGGTTTTCTCTCCTTGGGTGCTCGCAAAATTGCCGGTATGTTCAACTTCTATTAATTTGAACAAATGCAGTATATATTGTTTTAAGGATGACTACAGAGCAACCTTTTCCTCTACTTGCCACTTGAGTGAGCTAAACATACTAGGATTACGAGGGAGAAATCTGCTTTACAAGCTATTACACTGCCAAAAAGAAATAAAAGAGTCTGTGTCTAACAGTTTCTTCCATTAGACCTATAATTACATACTTTTATCAGTTTTCGGTGAGACACTAAAACATTATGAAAATTAAACTGCTTTAGCTTGAAAAGTGAAAGAGGAGGACAAGCATACAGAGGTTAAAGAAAAATAACATAGTACACTTGACAAAAAGAATACTGAGGTCGTTTATTTTCCTCAACATCCCAGGTATAGTGGTGCTCCATAGGTTAATTAAAAAAATTATCTTATTGGACCAAACTCTCCAACAAAGAGGATGAGACTCTCTCTGGGTTTCTCCTAATCCATAGTATGCTGGCTTCTCAGACAGCGATCATCTATCAAAGTCATTTCTGAGTAACCCAGTGGGCCACATCTGTTCAGCCAGCTGGAAGAAAGTATTATCAAACACTACAAGTGAATTCCACTTCTGCTGTGCACTTTACATTTGCACAAGGAAATCTGCAAACCTCTGTGAAAAGTCATTTAATAAATAAAAATGTCTTATAGAGTAGATAATATTTTACACTGAACAGGAGGTTCCTAAGAGATAGACTTGCAAATCTAGCAAATAAACTAAGGCCTTGTACTCAATATTACATTTTTTAAACACCAAGTATTAAATAATACAATCTTCCAAACATCCATCATCAACCTAGCAATAACAACGAAGTTAATTTTTCCAAAGGCAACTCGTCTTCATTCTCAACTTTCAAAATAATTACAAGCCACATGCACTACACAGTTCTCAAAAAAAGCTTCAATGCTGACACAGCACGGTACAAATCAGTATGTATTACTTCATAAAATACCATATTTACACAAATTATGTCATCAACTTGACTTCTGTAAACATATGAAACAAGTACAATGAAAATGTCTGTTCTTTGAACAGTTTCCATTACAAATAAAATTACTTCTGAAGTGAAAGAACCATAAACAATGGGTGGGGCTGGGGATTTAGCTCAGCGGCACAGCGCTTGCCTGGCAAGAGCAAGGTCATGAGTTCGATTCCCGGTACCAGGGAAAAAAAAAAAAAGAAGAAAAAAAGGTCATAAATAATGGGTATCCATCATCCCTAAAAAACATAAATTTGAAAAAACATGTAATGTATCAATTACTGTGTACACATAGTACTAAAAAAAGCATTCAAAAAATTCCATTTGGCAATATTCCTTTCAATACTAAGAACTCTAACAGGCTAAAAAACGTTCAAAGAGAAAAGACTTGGATAACATTTAAATTTCAAAACCTCTCTCTTAACAGCTAAAAACCAAACTAACATGACAATGAGTCTCCCTAGTTTACATTTTTAAATTTTAAGTTTTACTTCCAAATAGAAGAATCACCTGAAACACAGCACAATAACAAAAAAAAAAAAACATGGTAAAGAATCAAAACCTGCTAAATTAAAAAAAAAAAATGTAAGAGAAACTCATGTTTCAAATCTTAGCTCATCATAAATAACAGGTCAGTCAGGTGCAGCAAATGAAAAGTCTGCAAACAAAAAGACGCAAGTTCTCAGTAGGCATTTCCCCCGTGCTAGATGCATTTGAGGCAGAAATCACTATCCAGCCTGGGAGATTCGGCTCTGATACACAAGAACCCTTCCGCGCTGTCAGAAATCTAGTCTGAAAGGTAAACAGAGGGCAAGAAGTAAAGACAGTAACTGCAAAAACACTCACCTGTCCTGTAATCCTGCCCAGCAAGGCCCATATTCCTTGCCCTTCACTTCGAAGTTTTCCATTCAAGTTCTGTAGTTCTTCTAAAGACTCACACAGCTACAAAGAGAGCAAGGCAAATTATCAATAAATGGCCAAGGGTTCCTATAACTATATTCCATACATATGTAAGGTATTTGAGTCCCAACACTGTACTACTTGTAGGAAAGAACAACTGTGATGTGGGAAAAGAGGAAAAAAAAGAAGGCAGGGGAAAAAAAATACATATATACAAGATAGCTAAGATAATTGTATTACCAACTTCTATAGGTTTATTGAAAGGAACAGTTAATGTTTAACTGTTTGATCAACCTTACAAGCGTGTATCTAGTTATTTGAGTAACCACTTTGAAGATGACAATATATAATACAACCACCATTGTTGACTTCCTATCACCTTGTTTTGAGATTCTGTATCATTTTTATTGTTTTTATGTTGTTTTGTTTGTGCCTTTGTTTTTGTTATTGTTTTTGTTATTTTCTCTTTAAAACTAAAAATATATATATATACACACACAAGGATAGCTGGGCTAAGTGAATTGCTGATGTCTACTGGTTTACTGAAAGCAGAAATTAATGCTTAAATTTTTTTTTCTTGACCAATTTTGCATGCTTATATCTGGTAATCGGAACAACTAACTTGAAGACAACAATATGCAATATAACAACCGTTGTTGAACTCCTACCATCTTGTTTAATGAAGCTGTTTTGTCTATAATTTTTTTATTACTTGTTACTATCTTTAATTATTTGATCCATCTTACATCTGATGATCTGAGCAACTTCACTGAAGATTACAACATGTAGTATAACCATCATGGTTAATTCCTGTCATCTTGTTTTGAAATCCTGCATCATTTTTTTACTGTTTTTGTGTTGTTTTGTTTTTGTCTTCATTGTTATTTTCAGTTTTTTTCTCTTTAAAATGAAAAGAACTGTACTACTAAGACAACACTATCCAATTATTTAGCAGCATCAACAAAATACAAGCATTTTATTTTTGCTATTATTTTTTATTGATGATACCACACATTTATACATTTCATTAAGCTGCTATATAATTTCACACACACTCTGCTAATCAACCACTGTCTCTATCCAGATGCACCTCCATCATCCACCCCAGGAGAAACCTAAAAATCAGTCTGTGAGAGCTGGCTAACATCACTGCACTACAAGAATCCCCCAGTCTTCTGAACCCAATTCCACTTGCACTGCATCGTGGCTGGTTACTCAAACTTCCCACTAGCATCTTTATCACGTACAATGCTAACAGTCAGCTGGGAGATTCCAGCTCGCCCCAGAAAGAATGGCTTTGGTCAAGAAGTCAACCGATAACAAATGCTGGCGGGGCTGTGGGGACAAGGAAGCCTTCTCCACGGCTGGTGGAAGTGCAGACTGGTGCAACCACTGTGGAAATCAGTGTGGAGGTTCCTCAAAAACCTAGGACTGGAGGTTCCATTCGACGCAGGTATTCCCCATCTTGTTATTTTCTCAAAAGAATTGAAAGCACCATACCACAGCAATATATACGCACCCATGTTCACAGCAGCACAGTTTGTATCTTGTAAACAACCCAAACGCCCATTAAGTAATGAACGGATAAAGAAGACGTGAGGTTTTTTTAATACAATGGAGTACTACTCTGCCATAAAGAAGCATAAGCTTCAGACATTTCTAGCTCAATGGATGCACCTTGAGATCACTCTTCTTTACTTTCCTTTGGTACCTGGAATTAAACTGGGGGCATCGTGCTTATCATGCAGGCTGTGTGCCACGGAACTACAACTCAGGCCCTAGGCCATTCTCTTAAATGAAATAAACCAGACTCATTTTTAATACTGCACTGTTTATTGTAAGAAACTGAAAGGGTAAATAAGGACCAAGAGGTACACAGCTCTTGGGAAGCAGGAAGAGAATGCTCAGACGGGAAGGGGAACGAGAGGGGAAAGGAAGGGAGGGAAAAGAAACAGTGATGAGAAAAGAAGGAAAACAGGGAACAAAGCTTTTGTAAGTAAGGAGGGGAAGAGTGGGGGAGGGAGGGGGGAGGGAAAAAAGCCTTGTAATTGCTATGCACAGGTACAAACTCTCTATAACAAATATGATCATTATTTATATCTAAAATGTACCAATAAACCTAATAAAAAAAAGTTAAAAAAAAAAAAAAAACAAGTCAGCCAGGTGTGGTGGCACATGCCTGTAACCTCAGCACTCAGGAAGCTGAGGCAGGAGGATCACTGCCAGTTCAAGGCCAGCCTGACCTACACAGTGAGTTCCAACCCAGCCTGAACTACACAGCAAGACCCTACCTGAAGAAAGAAAAAGTTGTAATTCAATACCATTTTTAATGCATATGTGACTTGGTACCTGGTATTTTAGTCACATCTTCTTTTATATGAATTTTTAAATCTCCCTCACCGTTAGAATGAAGAGCTAACAATGAAAATGTAAATTGGGAAAAAAAATTTTAATTAAAGTAATATAATTTGGGATAAAAGCAGTAATTGAAAAATAAGCTTTTAAGTCTTCCACAAGCTTGGAAGCAGCTCTGCAACACTGTGTGCACAGCTTCGAGGAAGAACTCGGTCAGGTGCCCTGGCCTCAAACCCCGGCTCTAGGACTTGACTCCGTGTGAGCGCAGCTACGACTCTCTTCAGCGCTCCGCTCCTCTGCAAATGGGAGCTGCAGTCACAGGCTGCACGGCAGGGTTCAGACGAGGGTGAGGACTGACTCCGGAGACACAGCAGTCACATGTGGCGTACGTGGGGCTCAGAGCGAGACAGCGAAGGACGGGGCCAGGAGTCAGCGCTCCGGAATCGAAAGAGACGCTTCGAACCCCAGGAGCAGCCCCGCGCTTTCTGCTCCCCGTTTCAGAGCCAACTCACCTTGTTGTACTCCACGTGCAGCTTTTCTTGCTCGTTCTCTAATTTATCCTTGATATTCTTTTGCTCAGCCATATTTTCCTGAATTTGAATCATGCGCATATTTCTCTCTATTTAAATTAAATATCCAATTTTACTTTAGTACCAAGTAAAAGCTGATATAAGAAATATACAAAAATAAAGAGTCTATCCATAAAGACGGTCATATGGATAAATCGACATTGCTGAAACACTTTTAAATATACAGAAAAAACATGCACCTACAACTTTACAAAAACCTGCTACTTAGGAAAATAACATGCCTCACTTGACATACGTAACAGGGTTAATGAATCTCTAAAAATTAACAGGATTATCAAATACTCATTAGCAAACTGTTCTCATTGAAATGTGCACGTAGCAGTAGCTATACTGACCAAAGTAATAATTCACAAAGTCAGCAGTGAGAGCTGGCTGCTTATGTTTCCTCCTTCCGTCCACACTAGAGCTAGTATCTGAATTGTCCACTGGGAAGATATCTGTACTGATCCCCATTAGCTCTGCTTTCCGCATCAGTTTACGAATAGCTGAAGCACTACTAGTGAGTGGTCTGGGCAATTTTTCCCTTGGAACCCAGGCCTGGGGTCTGGTGGATCGAGCTAGTTCTGCCTTGGCACGGTATTGCTGAAGCCGGGCATTGATCCTTGCCTATAAAAGAAATGTACACAAGTTTTAAAATATAAGAAACTGGAACACAGCCCTGACGATTTTTACTTCTGTGCTCCAAAAAAGTAAAGATAACTGTAATCTCCTAATCAAGCCAAATTATATGTATCCATGGTCCCTAAGGTACACCACACAACTCGAGTTTCAATACACTAGAGCTACACCTAGTAAGAACTGGCCCACTGTACGATCAGCACTGTGAGAAACGAACTTCACTAAGTTGAACTTTTCTTTTCCCAATATCAACAGTCTCTGCAGATTTACTTCATGTACACAGAAACCACATTAAATAATGAACAAACTCACCAAATTCTCTGCATAAATGAGCATCAGACTGAAAACATCTAGTCAATATATTACATTAACCCAACAGTTTCCTGTAAGCCATGTTTTTCAGTGTGGAAATACGCTTACAAATAGCTGCTCTATTCCTACCTGAGGAGGAACATACTCAACCGCACCTACTCACCACTTACTCAATCAGAAACCACTTCTCACATAACTAAGCGAATTTTGTAACTGTATTTCACGTGTTACTGGCCAATCGTAAGAGCGATACTCTACACTCGTAAAGGGAACGTCCTGGCGTGAGCCCATACCTGCGCTTCTGGTGACAGCTGCTTCTCTCTCTCCTGCAAGGACATTTTACAGTAGGACTGCAGGGCCAAGTAATTTTTTCGTTTCCACTTTCTGTCCAAACGATCTGCATGTTGCTTACAATAAGCAAAAAACGGATCTGCTATGTCCTATACAAAAAAAGGAGGGAGTGAACATTTTAACTCCAATATATCATTAAAAACCTGATGCCAAAGAAAAAAAAATTTTTCTGAACAATTTCCTAGTTTTGGTTAATTTCACAATAAATAGTATAAGTAAATTTTATACATTATGATAAAAATTTCTACTTTAAAAACAATCCAATATATCAAATTAAAGTTTCACATTAGCAAATTTTTCTTCCTTAAAGAAGTTGAGGGTATATGCTAGCAGCAGAGAACTTGCTTAGCATGCCTAGAGCCTTAGATTGATCCCCAGCACTGCAACAAAAGAAAATAAAGGACCTTGTGGATTTAAAAATACTGAAAGCAAATCTTATGTATTATTTGGATGTATCTGTATACTACTGTAAAAAACTCAGTTTAAAAAAGTAAGATATAACAACAAAAACAACAAATAGTGAAGCTCTGTATATATTAATACTGCAAAGAAGCAAGAATACTGTATATTCAAAAATTCAGGATACCAGAGATAGACAATTTTAACTGGTTAGCAGTGCACACACAGATTCCACTCAGGGGAAATAAGATTAAGAAGTCAGACCTTTACACTAAAACAATTTAGGTATCTCCTTATCTGCTTACATCGCTTCATAAAGAAGCACACATAAGAACAGAAAAACATAGTAATAATTTTTAAATTCTAATATGTCCTTAACATTCAAAAAAGAAGCATAAGGCAATTCTACATTGTGACAGCCACAGACCTCACAGTATACAGTATAGTACAAACCAAATAAACAATAAATATAAAGAAAATAAATGCTTCATAAAATAGCTAAAGTAAAAGAAATACAAGCCAAAAGGTTCAGCTCTGTTTCTAAAGGTTCTCATTCTTACAGGAAAACGTATTTCCCTTCCATCCGCTCCCGTCTGTACTCCGCACGGTGACGTCTTTTCTGGCTGCTTACCAGTTTCTTCCCTAGGACGACCTGCTGCTTACAGCAGGGTGTCTGCACCCCAGCAGGGCCGTGTCCCACCTGGCCTGCGCCTCCGCACATACACACGGGTTCGCAATCCCCATGAGTGACTGTTTCACGGAGCACTGGAGTCCCACCTTCTAATACAGACTGCACCGCCTACCAAAACTCGGCCCCCCTTGACCAACCTAACGGCTGCCTCCCTTTGGACACGGAAACTCCCCAAAGGTCCATGTGCTAAAGCCGGGGTCCACACCTGGATATTGCTCAAAGGGGTAGAAACTTGCGAGGCAGGACCTTCTAGGTCATCAAGGCTGCAGAGGTATGGTCGTCCCTCGGGACTGCAGACCCTGTCCCCGCCCTCCTGCTCCGGCCGTGACGGAAGCAGCTGTGCGCCATCACAGGCCCCTGCCGTGATGCAGCATCCGAGGCCAAGCAACAGGGCCAGGGACCAGTCACAGACTGGAGACTGAATGCGCAAGCCAGAATAAGCCGTTTCTCTTTTCACGGTGATTTCCTCAGGTATTTGTTAGAGTATGGAAGCGGACTAATTTAGCTCAGTGGCACAGTGCCTGCCTGGCAAGCGCAAGGTCATGAGTTCGATTCCCAGTACCGAGAAAAAAAAAAAAGAAAACAAACAAATGGATTTTAGAACACGAATTAAATAGCGACTGCTGCACAGCTGATCCCCAACTTATGGTGACTCGACTCAGAACTTTTCCATTTTATGGTGGTACAAAAGCCATTCGCATTCAGTACAAGTGCACTTGGAATCTCGATCCTTGCCTGGGCTAGCAATATGCAGTGTAACAGTCTTACGATGTTGAAAACAGTGGCCATGAGCCACAGCTCCCAGCCAGCGCACGCTCAGTGAGTACACTGCTAAGCTGTGATGTTCCACAGGGTACGTTTACTGAACACATACTCAGCTCACAATTATTTTCAGCTTAAGATGTGCTGAGCAGGAGATAATGCCATGATAAGATGAATAGCGGCTGCATAGCGTCCTGCAAATGTGGCTGAATTGTGTTTATGGACTAACACAATCCGGTGAATGAATATGTTGAATGAACAACATTAAAATGCACTAATCTGCAACCTTTCCGTAGGTAAGGATGAGTAACAACTGCAGAATCGTGAAGATATTTTATGATTCTTTGTTTATCCTATAGCTACAGTTTATTTGTTAAGTCTTGCAGTCATCTGAAAAAACAAGGTAAGACCAAAAAAGAAAAATAGTATTTTTGAGTATTATTCATTTCCTATGCCAGTACTTAAAAATTTTAGGGACTTTTATAAATAAATTTAAAAATTTTAATGTAAATACAATGTCCAGACACCTGGAGCCAGAAATCAAGAGAACAATAAATTTGCCAGTGTACATACTTTGTCCTTTACAGGTATGCACCATACACAGCACCCAGCCCGCAGCTATTCAGTACTTCCTTCTCCATGAACTCCACCACTCCCGTGCCCGCCCACAGCAAGAGACTTGTAAGGCGGCCGTTCCCCAGCAACGCGTGCTACCTGCCTCTGGTTGCACCGCTGCAGCCAACCCAGTGGGCAGAGGTGGAGTCTCGTCGCGGTCTTTACTTCCCTAAAGATGGGTGACCTGAGCACCTGTCTCTGCATGTTGGTCACGTTTGGGTCCTGTTTTTTAAGGAGGCTTTTCCGCTTTCTGTTACTGTTTTAGCACTCTCTACATATTCTGGATAACAATCCTTCATCATGTGTCTGACTTGAAATACCTTCCCCCACTCTGTGGGGTGCCCTGTGACTACACCAGCGATGGCTGAAGTATTTAGTCCCCGCTCGCGGTGCCAGGGATTGAAGCCAAGCTCTCGCACCTGCCTGTGCAGCAAGCACGGACCACTCAGCGCCATCCTCAGCCCCATTTTGTAATTCTTGAGCCACTCCTGCACACGGTATGGAGAGAATGTAGCCACAATCATGATAAATTAAATAAGAACTGATATCAAGCATTTTATTATATTTTGGATCATATTTCTTATAAACTTATTTTAAATATACAGCAGAGTTTCTTACCCCTCATAAAATAATTTATATTCTCATCTTTACATTAAAAATACTAACACTGATCTAGCTAATAAGTCTACATAATAAGACTTTATTATTATCAGGGCTGGGGATTTAGCTCAGCAGCACAGCGCCTGCCTGGCAAGCGCAAGGTTGTGAGTTCGATTCCCAGTACTGGAGAAAAACCAAAAACCAAAAACCAAAAAAAAAACAAACAAAAAAAAGACTTTATTATTATCTAGAAAATGATAATTACTTTATCTAGGTAATAAGACTTTATCCAGGAGAACAAAATTAACATTTGGCATCGTATTTTATATGAGTGTTGGATGTCAGATTTATTAAAAAACCAATACAGCATTTCTTTCATATAAAATATGCATGGTTCAATAATTACACAACACTTTATCCAACTGTACCTTGCATTTTTTTTTTTTTTTACTTTGAAGACAGGGTGTTACTATATAGTTCACGGCAGCCTTGAACTCACTGTGTAGCCCAGGATGACCTTGAACTATCAGCGATCGTCCTGCCTCAGCCTCCTATCTGCTAGGATTACAGGTGTGCACTACCACGCACGGCTCCCTTCCACTTTCTAACTGCATCTCTCAGAGAAAAGTGCGTGAGCCTGTGTTAATTTATTCTGCAGCAGAAGCTCTTCTTCCCCATTGGTCTGTTGAAAATAGCAGTCATGATCTGCTTTTCACTATTTCAAAGTAATCAATCTGCAATTATTTTATTCTGTATTTTCTTAACTTACTGGTACCATTTCAAATTCATTACTTTAAATCAAGGGCTACTATACAGATACAAGGAAGGACTCAGGGCAGACATCCCAATTCAGACAATGACACAAGAGTCACAGAATTACTTCCGAACAACAGTATAATACTTACATTAAACAAAACAGAACTGACATGGTTTTACCCTATTGGTTACTTACTATTTTTAAAAATAAGTGGCCTATTATGTGTAAAATATAGACATAGGATGATTTAAATTAACTCTTAATAACAAGAATTACAATGGGTGGTTGTGGATTAACATACGTCTGGAAAGTGAGAATAAAAAAATGGAATGAGGAAAAAAAAGAAAAGAAAAAATAAGAGGAAGCCAGACAGAGTATCCCTTACAGTTTGGTGCAGGACTATACAACCAACGTAAGCTGTAATGATAAAAGGTGAAGCAACTACCATTCCGCCTCTGGAATATATTTTTTCAATGAAAAAAAATGACTGTTTCCTTCAATCATGAGCTAAAGCTAAACTAATGTTTAAACAGGCGATTCATTGTGATATAAAATATTTATCAAAAATTTTAAGTAACCCTGACTGAACACTGTTCCGAGTTCTTACTTGTCTCTCTAATAAACACAACATGAAAAGCTCCCATGAGAAACGCGGCTCCGGGAGGGAAGCGCCACTGTGAAAGTCCCACTCTAAGAGAGAAGCGGCCGTTACTCTAACGAGGCAAGACTGGGGGAGGAGATCAGACCAAAGGCTACAACGCCAGAAAGTTCACACTTTTCTACTGTGAGGCGAAGCTGGGAAACCAGGAAAGGTGACATCTCGTTTTCTTTTTTTACTCTTAACTACTGGTTCTTCTTTTCCTTCTTCTAATGCCTGCTCTAAAGATCTATCTCGGGGCTGGGGATTTAGCTCAGCAGCAAAAGCACCTGCCTGGCATGCGCAAGGTCGTGAGTTCGGTTCCCGGTACTGGAGAAAAACCAAAAAAAAAAAAAAATCTCTTTCATCTGGTGTAAGTATATGGGTATGCTAGTAAAAAAATGGAAGAATACTGCTAGCTACTTACAATAGCTGTGGCAAACTGTGTTAGCTGCGGACATCCAGGGATTTTCTTCCTATCAATTGTCTTGGTTACTCTTCTCTTACTGTGAGACAAAACAGCTGATACCCAAAATTGAGGAAGGAAAAAGGTTTATATAGCTCAGTGTGTGGAGGTTTCAGGCCATACTCAGCTGGCTCCAAGACAGAGTGCCACATGGCACAGGGC